GAGATTGATTTGGTAGTTCGAAGAATCTCAAAAACTGTTGTACGGCTTCCGCTTCCCTTCGGCCTTTCTTTCTTGAGCGGCCAAAGGCTATATCAGAAAACATTTGCATGTTTCGTTTCGTCAATGTTGGAGTTTGAGAGTGTTGTGTTGACAGAATGGCTTGTCAGCGATAAGTTCAGAAGCCTACAGAATCCTGCCTGGATGCTTCCGAGACACCCAAGTAGTTGCAGGCCCACCGCTGCAATCTTTGAAACTCATGCTCAAAAGGCAAGATTATGACGTGAACTCTGTTGCTGGGCTCAGGTATTGCTTCTTTCTACATGGACGATTAGACTCTTGCGTCCCAAGCCCCAAGCCCAAAGCCCTCGCTAAGACCCCAATCCTGGAAGCTAATGCCTACACGTACCTTTGGTTAGCTCGGAATGAAGGAATGGATCCTTATAGTAGTCCCTATATAACCAATTATAACTGTTTCAATGTCCTTTTCCATTCCTTCATTCCCATCCTAAACCCTAAATAGTAGTTTCCATGTTCTTTTCCATTCCTAAACCCCTAAACCCTACATACTCCCTATGATCCCTGTAGTTTCCATTTTCTTTTCCATTGCTTCATTCCCAGCTAACCAAAGGTACCATCTAGAGTAGAACAGCAATAATAATAGTCGTAACAGTAATAACGATGATAATAATAGTTATAACAGTAGTAATAGTAATAACGATGATTATAATAGTTAGAATAGTAATAGTAATGCTACTACTACTACGAATAATAATAATACCAATATGAAGTCAGCAGGTAGATGCTGGGCTCGAGTTGCAGCAGCAAGGCTACTCAGCGCAGGCCTCAGGGTGCTGAATGGAGCACTGTGAGGTCTGTGAGGCGCTGAAGCCGGGGCCCTTGTGTAATGTGGGGTTTAGGGTTCAGGGTTTAGGATTTTGGGCTTAGGTTTTAGGATTTAGGATTTAGGATGTAGGGTTTAGGGTTAGGGTAGTCCTGGCTGAAACCTGGCATTGCTCTAATCCTTGAAGCAACCCTTGAAGCAGCTGGTGAGGAGGATAATTCCTAGGAGATTCAGACTTCCTCATTCTATCATCCTTGACACAAGAGGTCAAAAGGTAAGGCTCCTCCTAAACCCCACACTCCAAACCCTAAATCCCAAACCTAAGCCCCAGGCCCTAAACCCTAAATCCTAAACCTTTCCATCCAAAAGCTGCAAGGCGCATCCTGCGATGGCCACCTCTTTCCGTCTCTTCAAGGCCCTGGAATTCTTTCACATGGTTGCGGGGATTTCCCCTGGTGACATGGAGGTTTCCCCAAAACTAGGGGTGCCCCTTAACGGGGGATATAGAGGTTATGTAGGGTTTCGGGTGCAGCGATTAGCGTTTAGGGATTCGGGATTAGGGTTTCAGGATTTCCCCCGGTAAAAAATGAGCTACGGTCTAAACTCCTTAAAGGGGGTTATTCAGGGTTTAGGGTTTACAGTCTAATCTTCTCACAGAGGATTATATAGGGGAATATAAAAGGGAGGAGTACTATGAGGGTTATCAAGGGGGATGCTCAGATTTTAGACGATAGCTCACATGGAAATGTCTAGGGCCCCATGGGCTCAGGAGTCCTAGAACCTCAGAAGCATGTGAATACAGCAATATTTAGGGTTCAGGGTTTAGGGTTCAGTCTAAACTCCAAGCATCCCCGTAATAGCCCCTATACTAGTCCGCTATAGAATTCCCTGTTTAGACTCTAGCCCACATGATCCAAGAACCTTTTCCATTTTAAGGGGTTCGGGGAGGATAGGTAGTCCTAACTGGGGTTTCCCAAAATTAGGGGTACCTTATGAGGACCCCAACCCTGTAATAGTGGTATAATCGGAATATAAGAGGACCCTAATAGAGTCCTTATTATCCCTTATAGTCACTATTACAGGGTGGGGGGTCCACCTAAGGCCCTATTTTGGGAAACTGCCATCCCAAGGTTTTTCCTACAAGCGTTTCTGTAGGTCCTGATTAAGCCCCTGCCTGAGTGCGCTGAAGTTGATCAGAGAGGGGATTCAGTTTTGGCCCCTCCCCCTCCTGTGTAGGCTTAGGGGCATAGGACTCCGGAGTTCAGTTGGGAGGTGTAGGGTGCGGAGGTCAGGTACCTGTCAGCTTCGAATACTCCGTAAAGAGAACAAAATCTTGGAGCTCCCGGCCCTACCACTCTCGCACTTAGAGAGAATCACGGATTTTCTGTATCCACCTCCATGTTCACTGAATTCATCACCATGAAGTAAATCTGTATCTCTGAGACCTTACTTGTACTTGCCCCGTGGGAGGGTTCAGTGGCAACGCCTACCTCCGGAAACCCCAGGAGGCCGAATCTCCAGCTAAAGCTTGAACTCTCCATCCCGCAGCCTTCAGAAGCTTTGGTATCCTTCCAGCTTAAAGCGTAAAGCTCAAGACCACAAGCTGAAAGTGCTTTAGAAGCCCAGAACCTCGGAACCAAATAATCCCGCAAAGCTTAAACCACTCAGCCACATACTCTGCAAATAGTTTCTGCGGCCGCTATTGTCTATGTACTTCAGTAGTACCCTTATTATAGGAAGAGGGTACCCTCAAGGGGTTAGTGGGGAATCTGGCCACGTTCCCCAGGATGGCCTCTCTTGAGCCTGAGAAAGAGTCTTGCAAAGTCTCTTCACATGAAGCTCCTGAACCGTCAGCCCTCGAAATCCTTCAACCTCAACCCCACCTAAAGCCCATAACCCTTTCCTTGACCTCAATCTCACTCAGAGCCCATACCCCTATCCTTGAGTAAGTCTTCTGCAAGGGAAGGCCGCCAGCTGAGCCTCCGATCCACTGCGGCGGTCGGGTGGATGAGCAGAAGGCCACCTGAAATTGGGACTTAGGGTTCAGAAGGCTTTGCATTGACAGCAATGATGTTGTTGATGTACAAAGCCCTGCATGGCTGAGTATAGTCAACGACCATCATTCTTGAGCTTTCAGGCGTATATCGGGTCATGCTAGGATTTGTCCCGCACCTGTGCTCGAAGCGAAGATAGTGGGTATGGCCAAGCTACAAGTTTGGGCTGAAAACAATACATGAGCCATGGCTTTTATTATCGTGTAGGAGCCAAGAGCAGGCAGAGATAAAATTCAGTGACATGAGCAAAACCCTAGTAAAGCGATAGGGCCCCCAAAAGCGATACCCCCGAAATGGATGACAGCAGTGTGCAAAAACCCTGTAAAGCGATAGCCCACCCCAA